CTTTGTTTGTCTGCCTTAAATATACTTTGGCTCAGATGGAAGAAGTTTTCACTCAATTTCCTGTAAGTAAATTCAACTTAATATGTTGTGACTACAAAACCTAAAATTTGGGGAGGGGGAATATGACAGACTGAAGAAAGCTACAATGACAATGATTTAAAAGCTTCATTTATTTTTAAAATAGAAATGCCATTTACAGTAACAATGCCCTTGAGTTGATCTTGACTTATAGACAGGTCCTTTGGCTGATTTCAGAAAAGCTGTGTAGTATTGAAATTGAGCGTCTTGGATTGTAGACTATACTGAGTTGTTACAAACAGAACAACAACAAGGCAGTGTCAAATCATTCCCACCTTGTATCAAAAAGAACAACAGGGGTGTATTATGTGAAGTGACCAGCACTTAAATTTGACTCAAGAGAGACTTAACAGCTTTTAGAAATAAGCTACATGTAAGCTTGGATTATCTTCTCTAAATCAATGCCTTCTAGATCAGTGTGATCAACTGAAGATATGTGGACTTAAACTCCCAGAATTCCCCAGCCAGCATAGCACTGGCTGGGGAATTCTGGGAGTTGGAAGTCCACGTATCTCCAAAGTTGAGAAATACCACTCTAGATGAATGAGATCTACATCAATTCCCCAGTGATATAAACCTTTTTGTATGTTTAAGCCTATCTCCTGCTACCCAAAAAGATTCATTTTTATTTGCCCTATTTTTTAAAATTGCCCAAAGCTTAGGAAACATGCTGTGAAGAAACTTATGTCAGATTTAATTGTCCCCCTCCCCAAAATATATTACCTCAAGGGGGTCTTCTGTAACGTCATTGTTGAAAGTATTCCTTTGCAGAAGCTCAAAAAAATCTTCGCTGGATTTCCGCCTCTCTTCCAGATCTGATGCAGAAACCACCAACTCTTCAGTTTCCTGAACCCCAATTTCCAAGCGGACAGTCTCCTCCTTCCGCCATTGCCATTCTTCCTCTGTCTGCCTCATGGAAGAGTCACTACTGGTTTCAAGAAATATCTCCGTGGCAGAAAAACCGCTTGGGAAGTAAGTGGACATGGCTTTGGCCCTTGAGTAGTGGGTCTCTTCTTCAAGTTTTGTTTCTATGTTCAGCACGTCGGGCACCGAAGAGCTAAGTCGGCGATCTAAAGGATGAATTTTTCTTTTCTCGATGATTTTGGCTGAGCTTTTTTTAGTCCTTCTGACGCTCAGGTTTTGTAACAAAGGCTTCGTCCTTTGTTTCAGCGATCCCCAGACAGAAGATTTCTCCAGATCCATTATTAAGCTGACAGTGTTATATAATGCTCCGAGTTGTACGCCTCTCACCAACTCCTAAAAAACAATGGGGTTAAAAAAAAGAGAGAGACGGAGCACAAGAGCAGTTATTTTCTGGAAATGTACTGATTTCGATTGCATGCCAAGATGTCTCTGGCAGATACCTTGAACAGATCCCAAGATCAAAACAGATTGCATTACTAATTTCGCCCAACGTGAAAAGTCAAAACAAAACAAAACCAAAAAAAAAAAAAAAACCCCTTCAGGAAAGTGTTATTCTTACTAGGAAGGAAATCAATTCTTGATTCCACACCAGTCATGAGGATAAAAATAGTGAAGGGTAAGCTATTTCAGTTGTCTCCCAGAAATTACACAATGGCAATTCCCAAAGGTTGTAAATTATTTAGAGCTGATTTATTTAGAGTTAACCAGAAATGGTGCATGGAAGAGATAGCTCAGTTCAGGCACCCTTGTAAGTGTGGAAGAGGAAAGACGTGACCGCTAGGAGGGGAAAAAAATACAGTTGGTGTTCCCAATTATCACTTGTTGGAATTCCCACCATCCTAAATTGGCTAAAAACCAACGAGTAAGTTACCTGGACTTCTGGGAACGGTGATCATAGAACATCTGGAAGCCTTAAAACAGGCTGAGGAAGGGTGACCTAGACCTTCTAAATCAGGGGTGTCCAACCTTGGCAACTTTAAGACTTGTGGACTTCAACTCCCAGAATTCCTCAGCTTGCTGGCTGAGGAATTCTGGGAGTTGAAGTCCACAAGTCTTAAAGTTGCCACGGTTGGACACCCCTGTTCTAAATGATGGGGCTATCTACTTGGACCACGAGAGAACTTTCCACAAACTGGAGACCCACAATACTAGTTTATGGCATCGTCCAATTGGCTAGCTTGCTCCCGTCCTCGTAAGCCACACATAGGAGGCCTTTTCATCCACTTCAAGAGCTTCATTGTCTTGAGAATAAGAGGAGTTGCATGTCACTGGTGAATGTGCTTAAGGACTAGGTGTATAAATTGGGCTTAACCATTCGTTCTCTCTCCTGTCTGTTTATTGCCATCCCTTTTAGTCTCTCTATTCTTCACCACAAGCATCAAGTCAAGGAAGATCCTTTTTCTAGAAGTTTAAACTAATGACTTCCCATGGTCTTTTGAACTTCAGACGAGCATCACATAGGACTAGATCCTTTTCTATTCTGAAAGCTTTTTTGAAATGATCAAACAGTCAGAAATGACCTGATAGCACCTTATTCATAAGAATACATTTTATCCAAAGGCAGAAGGTTACAGTTTAGTCCACCATAGATGGGCTAGACCAGAGGTAGGGAAACTTGGCTCTTTTATCACTTATGGACTTCAACTCCCAGAATTCCTGAGTGAGTCATAAAAGGTTCCCCATCCCTGGCCTACTGGTTTTTCAGTTGTGGGGGGAATCAATTTTTTTTTCTTGAATGAGACTGCTTAATATATAAATGTAGGACTTGAATGGGACTGTTTAATATACAAATGTAGGACATATGTCCTACATTTGTATATTAAACTGTTCTGTCTCACCTGTAGCCACAAAGTGAGAGTCCAACTGTCCCAAAGAAATAAACACGAACAAATAATATCAGAAACCACAGAGTTAACTTTTCTCTGTAATCTTCGTTGGCAGCTTTCCCACAAACTGTCTTCAAACCAAGATAACGAGCCGCAAGATAATTCAGAGCCAAAATAGGCAAACAGGAGGCTTCTTCAAAGCTGCGAAGTAACTAACGAAGTTTGATCCGGACAAAGACCATTAACTAGCACGCCTCCTTATATTCCTTGAAGGGGCATGTCAGTCTCTCTAATTAGTCTCTGGCTTGACGTTTCCTTTCAAATTGTGCTTGCTCTAGTCCTTGCATCAACCCAACATTCATCATTTTGATCATCACTCAAGGACTCTGGTATGTTCTGTGGATCAGCTGCTGACACCTGAGGCATGATTGATGTGGAAGGTTCCGGAGAGGATGGTGATTCCGACACTCCCTCATCCTCCTGGCTCATGTCTGCATCTCTCATTAAAGCAGGCTCCAATTCCAATGCCAAACCTTCCTCATCACTTGAACCTGTGTCTTCTGATACATCAGACTCAAAGTTCAAACCTTCCAGTCACAACAAAAGAGCCAAGTCCCATTCAAGTCAAAAATTGATTTCCCCCACTGAAAAACCAGTAGGCCAGGGATGGGGAATCTTTTATGGCTCACTCAGGAATTCTGGGAGTTGAAGTCCATAAGTGATAAAAAGAGCCAAGTTTCCCTACCCCTGGGCTAGACTCAGTATCATCAGAAATTGACACAAAAAAGAGGGGGTCAACCTACACTCCAAAGCCACCTGAGGGCAGGACAAGAAGCAATGGATGGAAACTAATCAAGGAGAGAGGCAACCTAGAACTAAGGAGAAATTTCCTGACAGTTAGAACAATTAATCAGTGGAACAGCTTGCCTCCAGAAGTTGTAGGTATTCCATCCCTGGAAGTTTTTAAGAAGAGATTGGACAACCATTTGTCCAGAATGCTATAGGATTTCCTGCTTGAGCAGGAAATTAAAATCTGGTCCTTTGGGGGTGAGAGAAGACATGTATATTTCCACTTTTATGTCAAGCAAGGAAAGAAGGTCAACCTTCAGAAGATATTTCAAGGCAGGAGAAGCTTAACACAACTTATACTTCTCAATTGCCTTTACAAATTGTTTGTGTGAGGTCTTGCTCTCACTCTCTAATTTATTATTTGAAACAGGAAAGCTGTTTTCTTTCAAGAACCAATAAGTGGAAAAATAGTTATTTCGACCATCGTTCAATCATCATTGGCTCTAGGTTGGGAAAGAGGCAGCTTTCACCACATCCTGGACAAAAAAAATATATGAAGGTATCTCCCTAAACTAAATATGTATATTTTTAGAAGGACCTTCCCTTGTCAACAAAAGGAAACTGATAGTATTTCAAGAAAGTGGAAAAGGAAAATATGAATAGATAAGATGTTGACACAAAATGCCAAAAAAAAAAAAAATGTTGAGATTTTAGGAAAAGTGCAGAGAACAGCAACTAAGGTGATTAAAGGCCTGGAAACTAAAATGTATGAAGAACTGTTGCAGGAATTGGGTAATGGCTAGCCTAAAGAAAAGGCTAGGACTGGGGTGAAATGATAGCAGTTTTCCAATATTTGAGGGGTTGCCATAAAGAGGAAGGGGTCAACATATTCTCTAAAGCAGTTGAAGGCAGGACAAGAAGCAATGAATGGAAACTGGAAAAGGAGAAAGTTACCTGTATGTGTGTCGGGATTTGATTCTGATGCTGTTTAGGGACACTGAATCTTGTAGGTAGGTAGGAAGAGATAATAGATGGAGATAGATAGATAGACAGATGGACAGACAGATAGATATGTAGATAGAGAGAGGGATAATAGATGGATATAGGTAGGTAGGTAGGTAGGTAGATATGTAGATAGATAGATATAGAGAGAAATAATAGATGGAGATAGATAGATAGATAGATAGATAGATAGATAGATAGATAGATAGATAGATAGATAGATAGATAGAGACAGATATGTAGAGAAAGAGAGAGGGGGGGATAGAGAGAGAGACAGACAGACAGACAGACAGACAGACAGACAGACAGATACAGGGAAATATATATACATATGTCTTTTTCTTTCTATCTATCTATCTATCTATCTATCTATCTATCTATCTATCTATCTATCTATCTATCCTTTATCATTTCTATATCTATTTCCTGCTTCTTCTCGTAGTGCTTAGAAATCTTTATTTTTAGATTGTGGCTGTAAATTAATAAGTTTTAAGAGTCAGCCTCTATTTTCATTGTTTTTAGAACTGGTGGATTTTTTTATGTGATCCGTGGTTTAATTATTATTCTTTTTTGCTTCTTTATTTTTAGCTCATTTTAATGGTAACAGGAACATTTCATTGTTATGATTGTCACTGCCAAAAGTCTTTTGATTGAGGCAGGCAAAAAAAAAAATAGCGAACAAATAAGCACATATAAATGGATGAAGAACTGCACAGAGACTTAATTCAAAGAACAAACCGACCAGACTTGTGCAGGAACCTCTTTTGCAAGAGTTTCTGGGCTCAATACACCGTTGCCTTCAATGAAAATAAGGAGGAAGGATAACATAACCTTCCTTGAGCCATTACAATCAAGAATAAACTAGCTTTTTGCAAGTTCATAGCCTTCCGTTAGTGTTTCACTACAATTCCCATCAATCTGGGTTTGGGGGGGGGGGAGTAATCCCCACATTGGAGAAGACAAAAAATGTTGATTAAATGCAGATGTTTATATCACAAAGCTACAGCCCTACATGGTTCACAAGCTTTCCTCATCCTGGTGATGACATTAAGTTCCAAGAAAACAAGTATTTCTAACGAACAAAGCCTTTCTTCTTTGGAGATACTGCAGTTCGGTGTCAACTAAGCATCAGGTCATCTGGAAACAGGGCTTCCTCAAGTCCCATGCCTCTAAACATTATTTTCCTAAAGCAAGACTTCTGAAAAGAGATGCATAGAATTGCATCCTTAAGGCTAAACAAGCTAGATTATATATAAAAGCGAAATACCACTCATGCATCATCACAAAATCTCCAGAACCGTAAAGCCTACACACTTGAAATTGGGCACATATGTTCCTCTTGGCTTCTAGGGGCTCACCAAGAAAGGATTTTTCAAAATGACCATTAGTATTTTGTATATTATTATTAACACGCTCTGATGCTAAGGAGTTCTACTCCTTCTCCCCACCTGAAAAGAAATCTGCTCCAAATGCAAAACACAAGCAGAGGAGTTTCAGTTTCACAGCACTAAGCAGCTTTAGTACAGAACAGTTGAGCTAAGCCACGCCCAGGCTCCTTGCTGTCTCCTTCTTGCTCACACAGCAAATACTCTTTCAGTTTCTCAACTCTCTCACACACTGACAAGACGCTAGCCAGATGAATACCGATGGATGCTGGTAGGCAGAGGCAGAATTTTTTCCCCCTTATTTTCCTCCCCCAAAACTAAGCCTGACCACATAGTTTCGTAGTGAAACATGG